GTGGCCGGCCGGAGACAGTTGTCCCTGCTGGGCCAGAAGGGACGGCTGCAGGGAGGATCGCCACACCCCACCCTGCACTGAGCCACATACATGAAACATTAATGCAACCGTCAGGGCCGGGACGTGAGCGGTGCAGGTTAGACACTTGCCTCGGATGTGAAATTCACACGGCAGGTACCAAGAAGTTCTGTAGTCAAGATAAATAACATCACACCGTATGGAGAGACTGCATGACAAGGGACGAGGCTCCGACACAGGCCACAGCGTGGCGGGACCTTGAGGACGTCATGCCCAGTGAGAGACGCCAGACACAGAAGGACACAGCGTGAGACTCCGTTTATAGGAAATGTCCCCCTGTTTTACAGAGGGGGAGCGAACTGAGGCCCAGAGAGGTTAAGTCATTCATGCGGGGTCACACAGCAAGCACGCTGGGAATTAAACCACGTGCCTCATACCCTCTCTGCTCATGCCTCTTCAGGCAGCTGAGCCTCAGTTTCCTTATTTGCCAAGTGGGATAAAAAGAGAGAGAGAACAGGCTGGGTGTGGTGGCTCATGCCTGTAATCCCAGCACTCTGGGAGGCCGAGGCAGGAGGATCGTTTGAACTCAGGAGTTCCAAACCAGCCTGAGCAAGAGCGAGACCCCATCTCTACTATAAATAGAAAGAAATTAATTGGTCAACTAAAAAAATATACAGAAAAAATTAGCCGGGCATGGTGGCGCATGCCTGTAGTCCCAGCTACTCGGAGGCCGAGGCAGGAGGATCGCTTGAGCCCAGGAGTTTGAGGTTGCTGTGAGCAAGGCTGACACCACGGCACTCACTCTAGCCTGGGCAACAGAGTGGGACTCTGTCTCAAAAAAAAAAAAGAGAGCAGGCGACGCCCCGGGTGTGGATCGACGAGCTCCGACGTGGGCTTGGCGTTGAGCCTGCGACATGCTTGCTGCCCAGTAATGGCCGTTTGTCACTGTGCGCCGGCAGCCCCCGGCCGCCCCGATGGGGCAGAACACCAGGGTGAGGGGCGGTCAGGGGTCCTCCCACGACGTCCCCGTGCAGTCCCCGGTGCCACGGCAGTCCCCGACGCTCGAGCCCCCCCCCCCCAGGCTGGTGGCGCCAGGCCGGAGCCAGGCTCCGTCTCCATGGAGACCCACGCAGGACGCAGGATGCGGGAGCCCGTGGGCCGCCAGCGCGGGAGAGGCGCTAACGGGAATCAGAAGCGAACGCTGCCAGCCCTCCCGCGAGCCAACACGCCTGTTTCCCCCAGTTCCTTCCTGCTTTTTCTTCCACCCCAAAACAACAAGAGCCCGGCGGAGCTCGGGTCTCCCTCTGGGTGCTTCAATCCAGCCTTGCGCCTCCCAAAGGACACCCACCCCGGCATTCATTCCTGGACAGGGCAGGGCGCCTGGGAGCGTCTGGAGACCCCAGGGCCGGCTCTGCGACTTGTTTTTAGCCGGAGGAAATCTGGTCACCACCGGTGTGACAGCAGGAAGCCCGTCCTGAGGGCTGTCGTTGGGAAGCAGAGACGGGGATGCATGTTTCCTCCTACACCTGCCCCAGGGCCTTTGCACTGGCCACTCCTCGCTCTCCCGCGAGACCGGCTGGACCAGACCACGGTTTCTCCCCTCGCGCTGCTGCCGAGTGGGTGCGATGGTTCTCTGGGGCGGGGCCGTCCTCGGCACTGCAGGGCACTGAGCAGCGTCCCCGGCCCCGCCCCCCCCACGCCGCGAGCACATCAGAAACATCTCCAGCCATCGCCAAATGTCCCCTGGCAAACAGATCACCCCTGGTTGAGAGCCGCTGTCCCCCAGAGTCCATGCCCTCAGCGGGGCGCTCCCTGCCTGCCCGTCTCAGAGACACCCGTGCCCTGCTGGGCACCTCAGTAGCTACTCACGACCAGGCGAGGCGTCACCTCCTCCCGGAAGTCCTCCCTGCTGCCCCAGCCTGCGTGTCCGCCCCCACTGCTCTGCTCCCCACACCCCCGCAGCTGACGACGGCTCCGTCTGCGGGGACGGACACCTGTCCCGCCCAGGGACAGCACCCTGCACGGCTCAGCAGATACCCGGTGACCCGGTGCACGGGCCTCAACAGTTAAAGTGACTTGAGAGCCTTTTTCCCCCTCCCCTCGTCTGTGGATTTTTCTGTCTTCTTTTGCATGTTTCTCCTCTTCCCACGTTGACTGTGAATCGCTTAGGAATCAAGAAAGTCTGAAACTTCAAAACAGGAAGGAACGGGCCGGTGTGCAGTGGCGGGGTCGGACGCGGCCAACTCGGCTGATTCTCTTCCCTTCGGCGCCCGGCGCGGCCGGAGGTTCTCAAGCCGACTGGTCCGCCACCAGTGTGCCCCGTCAATGGCGACACTGACCGATCACTCCGCACGTGCCGGGCGCCGCGCCAGCCTCGCACACGGCGGGGACCGCTGTCGTCCCGCTTCTCGGAGGGGCAAGCCCGGGCAGCCAAAGGTCCCCGGACGCGGCAGCGTCTGACATCTTCCACCTCCCTGTATCTGGCCAGATCTATGGGAACCGCTACTGTTTTTTTTTCCTTCTTCTACAATTGTGATCAAATGCCCATCACAAAATTTGCCATTTTAACCATTTTTAAGTGCACAGCTCAGCGGCATGAAGCACACTCGAGTTCCTGTGCAACCGTCACCACCCTCCACTTCCAGAACTTTCTCACCTTCCCAACTGAAGCTCTGTCCCCATGAAACACTCCCTCCCCAGCCCCCGGCACCCACCACCCTGCTTCCTGTCCCTGTGGATCTGACACCTCTAGGGACCTCCCGTGAGTGGAACCACACGGGACGTGTCCTTCTGTGTCTGGCGTCTCTCACTGAGCACGATGTCCTCAGGGTCCCTCCACGCTGTGGCCTGCGTCACAGCCTCGTCCCTTTTCACGGCTGCGTGATACTCCAGCGTGTGGATGGACCGTGTGGAGTTTATACAGATGCTCCGGATTTTACGGTTTGCGGGCTACGTGGTCTCTGTCGCTTCCACCAGCTCCGGGCTCTGCCACTGCCGTGGGACAGCCCTCAGAGACGACAGGGACAGGGACGGCCACATGCCAATAAAACTTCATTTACAAAAACAGGCAGTGGTGCGGGGCGCAGCCTGGGGGTCACAGTTCACCGCACTGCAGCCCGGGCCACAGAGCGGGTCCCCGTCCCTAAAGTCAACACGCTGATAAATAAATAGACATGCGCCAGTTATGCCTAGAAAGTGCTGCTTATGCACAAAAATACTTTCCACGTTTTTATATATAGCGGAACGGATCCTGCCACCCTATTTCCAAAGCGAGCTTCCGCGGACGCACGTCCGCCCAGACTCGCTGGGAGAGGGAGAGTGAAAAAATACCAGCGCGTTGGCGGAGGTTATCTCCGCCGGCTGGGCTTGCCGTGACACCCTCTGCTTGGGGACGGTCGAGGAACGCCGCGAGAGACAGACGCCCGCGCGTGTGCACAGGAAGGTGCCGGCGGGCTCTCCCCTGCACCGCGAGCTCTGCCCAAGGGGACAGGAAAAGGCCACCATCGTCCCCTCTCAGCCCCACCGGGCTCCTGGTGGTCCCGTGGGGCCCCGAGACCAAGAAGGCCAAGGCCCTGGGGTCCCAGAGCTCCCAAGCTAGGACAGTGTGGCCCAGGGAGGCACAGCCCCCCAGCCACGCAGGCCCTTAAGGCGGCTCCGCAGGCCCGGGCCGCCCGGCCCCTCCCCGAGGAACAGCCTGCTCACGCGCCGGGCAGAGGGGCGCTGGGTCCAGGCCCCGTCCCCAAATCCCAGAGGGCCGTTTGAGAACAGGCAGCTTTGACGGTGTGGGGGGGTGTAGGAGTCGCTCAGGAAGCCTCGAGTCTGGCCCCACACACTGGTTTCCAGAAGCATCTTTGGAATACATAGGACAGGATGACCCAGTCCCCTCTGCCTCCACCTGGTCCAGCCCAGCCCCACCCACGCCCCAGTCTGCCCCCACAGCAGCCACCAGAGGGCGCCTGTGAGCACCTGGGCCAGGGCCCATCCCTCTTCTGCCCACAGCCCTCCATGGCTCCCACCTTCCTCAGGGTCAAAGCCCAAGTCCTCCCTGCAGCCCTCCCCTCCTTTCCCTCCTCACTGTGCCTCCAACACGCCAGACGCATCCTGCCCCAGGGCCTTTGCACGGGCAATTTCCCCACCTGAAACACCCTCCAGGTTTCTCCCCGGCTGGCTCAATGGATGTCTCTTCTGCCCAGTCCTCCCCTCTGCTTCCCACACCCTTGCTTTCCTTCGCTGTCCCCCGCGCCCCAGAACACCAGGTCCGTGAGGGCAGGGACCCTTCTGTACAAAGCCCCAGCGTCTCAGTGGCAGTGCGACTGGCGTTTGTTGAATGAATCAGAGAACTGGGCAGGCTGGGTGGGGTGTCAAGTACCAGGCAGAACTGAGGGGGATGAGCTCTGGGTCCCCGGCCGCTCCATGGACCCCAGGAGACCCAAACGCACTGGGGACTGTGCCCCGCCGGGACCTCCCTGGAGCCTGGATGGGGAGGGTGGCAGCCTTCACGCAGCCCAGCGGGCCCCGTCCTGGGTGGACAGCGCCCCCAAACTCCCACCCACAGAGCTACAGGACGCGGCCTTCTTGGGGAAGAGGCCCTTCGCAGAGGCCGCTCGTGCGGCCGGGCCCTGGCCCAGCGTCTCTGGAACTCGAGACAGAGGGCGGCCAGGTGGAGACAGGGGCAGGGACGGGCACAGCCAAGGGAGGCCCGAGGCCGCCAGAAGGCAGAGGCAGGAAGGACCCGTCCCTGGAGCCTCCAGAGCGGGTGAGGCCCTGGCGACACCCAGGACCACGAGGGTCTCTGCTGTGGTTTGAACCTGCCAGGTGCGTGGGGCTTTGTCACGTGGGGGCCCCAGGAAGCGAGCGCACCTGTTATCCCACCTGGCCGCAGGGGGCAGGCCACGGCAGCGCTCAGCCCTCCCCACACCCCGGGCAGCGAGAGCCACCTCGAGTGGGCACAACGGAGTCCTCAGGGCCAGGCCGGGCCGTGGTGACGGTCATTCAATATGGCTTTATTTTCTCACTGGCCGGCTGCCGTCCCACAGCAGCCTGAGCTCGGACGGCCCGATCGCCTGCCCGGGCAGCCTAGGGACACCCAGACAGAAGCCCCGGTGGCACTCGAGTGCGTCCCGTCCCCACGGTGACACGGAGGCGGCGGCCTGAGTCGGCGTCTGGAGCACACGTGCCAGCGGCGACGGGGCGAACGGGGTGCAGTTTCTGGGGGAGGCGGGTGCCGGGCACCGTGGAGGACGGGTCCCCTGCCGGCTGGGCAGGTGTGGGGAGGCAGTCCTCTCACCCCTCCAAGCCACAGGCCCCCAGGGTGCCGGGCCAAGGAACTGGGGGCCGGAGTGACAGATCCCCAGGCCCTGCCCGGCGGACTCCCCGGCTCTGACGGGGCCACGGCCCGGGATCAAATGGCTCCGGCGGCCGGGCGGGGCCCACAGGCTTCCGCAGCCCCTAGAGCCCCCCTTGGCAAACACGTCACAGGTTATATTGCTAATGAACAGACACACCTTGGTCTCCCTGAGGTCAGCTCCGGCCTCCTCCCCCAGCCCCCCGGAGGGCTCGCGCCCCGCGGTGCCTGCTTCCAAGGTTAGGGGCTCAGTCAACAGCTCCCAGGGGCCACGAGGATCACAGGAGGCGCCAGCCCCCTAGAACACATGACCCTCTGCAGGGCCAGGAGCCCGAGGCCAGCGCAGGGAGCGAGTGTGAGGAGGGGCAGGAGCCTCCTCTCTCCCCCGGGGCGCCTGAGTGCTCCGGCTCGCCCAGCGCCGCCGTTGGACCCGGATCCGCCGGGAAGACAGGCAGGCCGGTCACGGGGAAGCGTGGCGGGCACGGGACACGCCGGGAACTAGCTCACAGGCAGCTGGGGGATCCCGCACGGGGTGGGGAGGACACAGCCTGCGTGCAGCCACCTGGTGCCTCACGGGACAGGCGAGGCCCACAGGGAGGGACAGAGGCTCCGAGACAGTCACCACCACGCTCCTCCGTGGTCGGAGAGGTGGGAGGCGCGGGTGTGGCCGAGATCCGGAACCGGAGGCTGGCGCCGCCCCTCGGACCAGACAGCAGAGAGACAGGCAGCCACGTCCAAGCCACAGGGTCACCGGGCGCGCAGAGCCGGGGAGGGCAGGTCCGAGGCCAACCCGTGTCGTTGCCGTGGCAGGAGGGGCGTGTCTGGCGTGTCCTCTGCAGCGGTGCACGTTCGCTCACATGGAGCGAGGCCCGGCTCGTCCCCAATCCGTGGCCTGGCCCCGGGACCTCGAGCAAGTTCTCCAAGGAAGTTCGAAGACAAGAGAAAAAGACAGACCCCCAAGTCCCGCAGAGCCACAGGGGCCCTGCAATTGCGTTTCTCCCGCGAGGCGCGTGGCCCCTCCCGCCGGGCGGCGTAGGCAGGGGTGTCCACTCACTCGTGCGTGGCCGGCGGGCGGGTGGCGAGGAGGGCGCAGGCAGGCAGCGGGGGCCGCGGGGCGTCACTGCGTCTTGGCCTTCACGAGCAGCCTCTGAACCGTCTTGTAGAGGAGGCTGAAGTGCTGGGGGGGGGGCAGGGTGAGGGTGGGTGCGGCAGGCGGCGGCCACACCTGCTTCTGGGCGGGCACGGGGTGGGGGCGCTCACCTGCACGGCCGTGTAGGCCATCCCGAGGTAGGCGCCAATGCACACGGCCAGGAGCAGGTCGAAGATGGCCGGCTTGACCCTGGGGGAAGATAGGGACCACGCAGTCAGCTGGCAGGGCCCGGGTGTCCCTCGCCAGCCCCTGGACACCCGCGGGCCAGCGTCCCCTGCGCTGGAGCCAGGGCAAGGGGCTCACTCACCTGTACGCGTTCATCACCTGCTTCAGCTGGTCGTAGAAGACGAACTCCGGGTCCCTGGGGAGAGAGCACGTCCTCAGGGACCCACCTGCGCCGGCCTGGCCCGGCACAGCCCACCGCCTCTCGGAAACCGCGGTGAACGGGCCAGGGCCCCTGGGCCACCCGGAGCCCCCACCAGCCCCGCCGCCAACTGTCCTTGTGGGTAAGGACTGTGCTTTACTCTTAGACCACATCTCCCCACTCCTTTCCTGGTGTTAAAACATGCAGTAAAATGAGCAGTAAACAGGGTGGCCGCGGGGACTCCGTGGGTCTGGGAAGCATGTGCACAGAGGAGCGGGGACCACGGCCTGGGAATGAGACCCTCGCTCCACAGGCGTGGTCCACTCGGAGCCTCGGCTTCTTCTTCTGAGTCTCGTGGGACAGCCGTGCACGCCCACAGCAGGCGGGCCGCCGCACGGCACCTCAGGCAGGTCTCCTGCCAGGAGGCCTTGAGGTGTGGGCTCGGCCCACCTGGGGAGGGCTCGGGGCCTTCGACATAAAAAAACGCAAACTCCAGGGAGCCGCTTGGGCCACATTCAAGGGACTCCAGGGTCAGGGCCACCTGAAGGCCCAGGGTGTGGCAGCGCTGCCCAGCGAAGGGGTCTGGGGCTGCCACATCACACGCAGAGCCCCCGCTGCGGACGCCACACACCCAGGAGGAGCGTGTCCGAGCGCGGCGCACGTGCCAGCCGCTCCTCTCCCTTCCTGCGAGCCCCGAGCCGGACCGGCGGCCTGCACTTTCTACTCACGGTTCTCTTTCCCGTCGTACTTTCTGTGTTATTTATATTCCTTATACACCTATTTTTTAAGAGGCAGGGTCTCGCTCTGCCGCCCGGGCTGCAGTGCAGTGGCGTCATCACAGCTCACTGCAGCCTCCGACTCCTGGGCTCCAGCGATCCTCCCGCCTTGGCCTCCCGAGTAGCTGGGGTTACATGCATCACCACCACACCCGGCTTTCATCCTGTATTTTCACTTGCTCCAACTGGCACCCTCTGGGGTGGGCAGAAGGTTCTAGAAGTCGCGGTCCCAGTGGAGGTGACGCCCCCTGGCCTACTGCTCTGCCGAGCCCCACGCTGCCCGGGGCCTGCGCGCTCACCGCTTGTCCGCCTTCACGTGGTGCTGCCGCACGTCCTTCAGGTAGCGGCTCAGGTAGTGCTCCAGCGTGCTCAGGAACGTGCTGTCTTTGTCCACCAGCTGGGCCGCCCGGGGCTGGTTGGTCAGCCAGTCCATGACCGAGTCCAGCTGCTCCTGCTGGATCTGCTGCAGGGACGGTGGCCTCGGTCACCGGCCCGGCCCCTCCCGCCCGCCCGCCCGGCCCCCCAGCACCCCCGGCCCCCTTACCATCTGCTCCGTGAACACCGGCATGTCCGGGGGGGTCCCCTGTAGAGGGAGAGCGGAGGAGACGCGGCCCTGAGTCCGGGGCGCCCGGCGGGCAGGTGGTGCAGGCGGGCGGGGCGGGGCGGGAGAGGACTCACCTTCTCCGACAGGTTGTAGATGACGCGCGTCAGGGCTTCCGCAACAATCCTCGTGTTGCGGGTCAGGGTTTCAGAATCCACCCGGGACCTTCGAGGTTTAAGATAAAAAAAAAAAAAAAATCTTCTTGGAACTGGAATCATTTATAATCTTGAAAAAGCAAAGAATGGTAGGGCGCGGTGGCTCACGCCAGTGATCCCAGCACTCTGGGAGGATTGCTCGAGGTCAGGAGTTCGACACCAGCCTGAGCAAGAGTGAGACCCCATCTCTGCTATAAATAGAAAGAAATGAGCCAAAAACAACTAAAAGTAGAAAAAATTAGCCAGGCATGGTGGCGCATGCCTGTAGTCCCAGCCACACAGGAGGCTGAGGCAGCCTCTGACTCTGAACCCCCCAAAAAGCAAAGAATGACCTAAATCTCCGACGGTGGTAAAAATGAGAACAGCAATGACCTTCTTGGGTGGGGGCAGGCCCCTCTCCACACCCCACATTCCTTTTTACTTTTTTTATTTTTGAGACAGAGTCTCACTTTGTTGCCCAGGCTAGAGTGAGTACCCTGGTGTCAGCCTAGCTCACAGCAACCTCACACTCCTGGGCTCAAGCGATCCTCCTGCCTCAGCCTCCCAAGTAGCTGGGACTACAGGCATGCGCCACCATGCCCAGCTAATTGGATATATATTTTTAGCTGGCCAATTAATTTTTCTATTTATAGTAGAAACGGGGTCTTGCTCTTGCTCAGGCTGGTCTTGAACTCCTGACCTCGAGCAATCCACCCGCCTCGGCCTCCCAGAGTACTAGGATTACAGGCGTGAGCCACTGCGCCCAACCCCAGATTCTTTTTAAAAAGGGGGGTCCCCACCGCCCCTCCTCAGGGGCACGCCCTGGCCCCGCCGCGCCAGCCATCGAGCTCGTGGAAGCCCGCCAGCTCGAGCCGTGAGCTCCTGCCCTGGCCTTCCCAGTGACTGCACCACTGGGCCTCAGTTTTCTCATCTGCAAATGGGGGTGACCAGCACCCTCCTCCCAGGCTGCTGGGGACAGACTCATCGTGACACCTCTGCAGTGGGGTGAGTGGCGTCCCCCAGATTCACGTTAACCCAGGATCTCGCAATGGGGCTTCTCTGGGAATAGGGTATTTCAGACACAACCAGTTGAAACGAGATTGTTTAGGTGCTGAGGCCGAGCCGATGGCCGGCGTGCTCCCAAGAGGAAACTGGGACACAGAGACACGGTGAAGAGGCCACGTGGAGACGGAGGCAGAGGCGGGAGCCATGCGGCCACAAGCCCAGGATGCCTGGGCCTCCCCGGAGCCGCTGGAGGGAGCGGCCCTGCCCTCGCCTGACCCCCGGCTGTGGGGCTCTCTGTTCTGAAAGCCACCGGACACTCACGCCCATCCACGGGACCGAGGACAACCCGCAGCCGAGAGTATCGCTGGTCACAAGCGGCACCTCCCTGGGCCTCTCGCGGGCCGGACGGCACTGCCCCTGCCCAACAGGGCTGGCCTGGCCCCCACGCATGGTGCGGGCACAGAGGGAGACGGCGAGAGCTGCCTGCTCCCAATTCAACAGGTGACGGGGCCTGGGGGTGCCCCGTGGGGGTTGTGGCCACACGCTGAGCCTTCCTGTCCCCAGCAAGGGCCGAGAACTGCTCGCCCTGCTTCCTGCTGCCCGCGGAAGTCCGTTCCCTTCCCTGCGGCCCCCAGGAGTCATGCATGACCTACTGCCCCGCCAGCGACCCCAGAGGACTGTTCCGGAAGGCGCCCGGGCTCACCGCACGTCCATGATGCTGCTGCGCTGGCCGTCGCGGTGGCTCTGCAGGTGGGACAGGGTGAAGGCGGGCAGCCGGCGGATGGCGAAGCGCTCGTGCTCCCAGGCCAGCACGTCCTCTGCCAGGTTGATCTTCTTGTGCACCATGGAGAAGCGCACCTCGGGGAACTGGTGCTCGGCCACCTGCGCGGCCCGGCGCGTCAGGGGCGGGCAGGCCGACCTCCCCAGGTCCCCGCGTCCCCCAGCGCCGCCCCGCCCGCGCCTCCCCAGCACCCCCACGTGAGGGGCCCGCCCCGCACCCACCGTCTGGAGCTCGCGCAGGAAGGCGTGCTGCAGGGTGCCCTCGCGCGGCGGCTTGGACACGTGCAGGTGCAGGCTGTTCCCGCGGCCCAGCGTGTCCAGGCACAGCACGAAGGCCACGTTGTCCTGGAGCAGGCTGGAGTCTGCAGGGAGCCAACACCGAGCGCTGGGGAGGGCCGGGACTGGGAGGCCCAGCCCCTGTGCCGCCCGGCCTGGGGCCACCTCGCACCTGTGTGGTCCAGGTTGTCCTCCAGCCAGCGCTTGGTCCCCTGGTAGTTGAACTTGCCCCCTCCAGAAGCAAAGAACAGGAGGTTGTACCTGGCGGGGGGACAGGGTTGATGTGACAGGGAGCACCCTGGGTGGGGACCGGCCAGGTCGTGGGCCCAAGGAGGGGCGAGGGGAGGGTCTCTCTGAAAGGAGGAGATCGTGACCACCCCCTGGGGCAGGGGCTTTACCCCAGCACCGCGGGTGCTGAGCGGTGTCCCTGCCCCCGCCCACCCTGAGGAGCTCCCCTAGAAAGGACAAAGGAAAGTGCCTCCACACGTCACTCTGCATTCCTAGGGGACAGAACCAGCCTGGGTGGAGCAGGCATGAACACAGACAGACACCTGTCGCTCAGAGAAAGGGCAGCGCAGGCCTCGGGTCAGCACTGAGAGGTCAGGGCCAGCCCGGCTGGGATTTTTGTTGGCGTCCTCCTCATGGTCAAAAAGTGACTCGGTAGTCACGTCCAAGTTCAGGCAGAATGAAAGTGGGGCAGGGGAGCAAGTTCCTTTTTAAGAAGTGGTAGGCCGGGCGCGGTGGCTCACGCCTGTAATCCTAGCACTCTGGGAGGCCGAGGCGGGCGGATTGCTCAAGGTCAGGAGTTCAAAAAACCAGCCTGAGCGAGACCTCGTCTCTACCATAAAAATAGAAAGAAATTAATTGGCCAACTAATATATATAACATAAAAATTAGCCGGGCATGGTGGCGCATGCCTGTAGTCCCAGCAACTCGGGAGGCTGAGGCAGGAGAATCGCTTGAGCCCAGGAGTTTGAGGTTGCTGTGAGCTAGGCTGACGCCACGGCACTCACTCTAGCCTAGGCAAGAAAGCGAGACTCTGTCTCAAAAAAAAAAAAAAAGAAGTGGTAAAACAGGTGCTTTCTCACCCACAGCCTCCAGGGACCGGAGTCCCACCGGCCCAGGGAGGGGGACGCTACGTTAATTATTCAGGAACAAACCGAGTCTGCTCCCTGCCCACGGTGGACACCAAGTAAACCCCTGGTGGGGCAGACGGGACAGACCGGGGGACCCCAGCCCGTGGGACTCCCTCCTCCCTCCCCACGCGGGGTGGGTGTGGACGTGTGCGGCCTCCTAGGACCTCAGCGGGGAGCGACCATGGGACGCAGGGGCTCTTGGGGGTCAGTGAAATCCTGAGCCCGGGGTCTCACCCAGGGTGGACTCTACCCCTGGGAGACACTTTAGGCTATCCCGATGGACGGGTGCTCCGGGGTGGGGACAGGGACGCCACTCACCCCCACAGTGCCCGGGATGCCCCATCCCAGAGAACGACCCGCCCCGGTGTCCGGGAGCCCCCGTCTCTGTTCTCACGGCCGAGAACCGTCCCAGCGGGGGCCCGGGACTCGCGGTGGGGCGCACAGGGGTGGAGCTGGGAGGGCGCGCTGTGCCCGCACACGGGAGCCCTGGACAGACAGACCCCGCCCGCGGCACTCACGCGGCGTGCGTGCGCTTGTAGGTGTAGAGCCGAGAGAAGAGGCGCGCCAGCTCCAGCAGCACGGAGATGCCGCTCCCGTTGGAGTCCGCACCCAGCGACAGCCACTGCGGGCAGAGAGGCCGAGGTCACCCCGGCCGCCCCCCGCCCGTGAGAAGCCGCACCGGGGCCGGCGCCGAGAGCCGGGCGGGCGCATTTGCTCGCCGGGAGCTGCATCCGCCTGGCCCCAGCCTTTCCCGGGGCCCCTGCTGCGGGCCGGCTCCCCCACTCAGGCCGCCCGACCCCGGGCCGCCCCCGCCCGCACTCGTCTTGTTCTAAAACGCCTTTCTCAACGGGGCACGACGGAGTCTCAGGGAGAGGAAACGTCCGCGCTGCCGCGGTGGCTGGGGCTGTCCCAGGTCACGGTGCGTGTGGGCATCCGTCGGGGGCACCGACGCTCGGGCCAGCGTCCTGCTTCAGCCAGACCCAGAGGGCCACACGGCGCTGCCGTGTCTACGCAGGCGTCAGGCGAAGCCACAGACGGGAGCGGATTCGCCGGGGAGGGCTGGGGAGAGGCCAGCAGGGCCGCCCCATCTTGGGTGAGGTTCCGGAGCAGGCGGCGTGACAGGCGCCGCTCTGGGAGCGTGCTGAACACGCTGAATTTCACGTTGCGTGAACACCTCAAAAACCTAATCCCAAAAAACCTAACGGGGGAGATGACGGGGACAAAAATGTCAAGACGGCTCCCTTTCGGGGAGGCAGAGACCGAGCCCCGTTCTACGCTGCCGACTGGACCCGGAGTTCTCAGGGACGGGGCCTCGGCCCTCTGGGTGGCACAGCACAGTCAGGGGCTTGGCAGGAGTCAGACCAGTTTGCTCAGGGTACGGCTCCGCAGCGGAAGCAGCCAGAGTCTCACGCTGGTGCAGCTCCGACCCTGCGGACCTGCGCTGGGGCCGCGTGCTCAGAAGGTGCCAGCAAGACTGCCCTCGGGGCGTCCGGGACCTGGGCGGCCCCACCTCAGCCCTGCGGGATGGCTGGGCCTAAACCGCCCCTGCAACCACCTGGGTCCGTGTCCGCCCCGCCCCGAGGTCCTCCGAGTCCGAATCCCAGCACGGGCCAGGCGGCGGGCTGAGGGAAGGCGTGAGACCAGGCTGGGGCCAGGCGGCGGGCTGAGGACGGGCCAGAGACCAGCCCCACGGACACTGGGCGCGGGGGCCCCGCAAGCTTCCCCGGGGAGGACACCCACACGTGCCGTCACGTTCGCTGCTGGGCGTGGGGCTGTCCTGCGTGGCTCCCTGGGGAGAGGGTTCTGGAAGCTGGGCCTGGCCTCCCGCCTCACCCCACGCCGTCACCTTCGCCGACTATGCCAAGTCCCTTTGCTGTCACGAAGCCACGGCCACGTGCCGAGCCCGGGGGTCTTGGGGACCCCAGCACAGACTCCTGGGCTGGATTCCTGGCCCAGCCACCTGCGAGCCTCAGGGCACCGGCCGAGAGACCCGCCCAGCGCAGAGACGCGGCGATGCCGCTGCGGCCCTCTCAGGGCTCGGACGGACGCACACGGGCACCAGGGTGGGACCGCGCGGATCCCAGCCGCCGTGCCACCGCTGTGCTGCCCCTGGACCGGCTGAGCTGCGTCTGGCCCCGCGAGGTGGGCGTGGGGCGCACATACGTACCGGGGCCACGCCGAAGGCGTCGTAGTGGGCGACGATGACGATTGTGGGAAGGTCCTCTCCGCCCAGCCCCGTCAGCCGGCCCTGCGGAGAGACAGCCTGTGAGTGGCCTGGGCGGCCCCCCGGGGCAGGCGGTGACCACGGCAAGGGGCTGGGGGACCCTCCTGCCTGGGCTGCATGGGCCCCTTCTGCCCTGGTTCTGGCACCTTCCTTGGCACCGATGCCCGGAGGCGCCTGCCCCCGATCCAGGGGTGAGGCAGAGCTCCCCAAGGGACACCCCACCCCACTCCGGCCCTGGGTGTCAGGCTGATGGCTTTAACAGAATGGCGGCACCACGGGAGGGATCAGGCCTTGGTGCCCACAGACCTGATGGTGCAGGACCTCGGTGTGCGGGGCCCTGGGGTGCAGAGATGACTCCCCTGCCAGCAGGGGCTGAGTGGCCGGCACCACCCAGTGTGAGCCCGAGGACGGGCACACAGGAGCCCAGGGACACACGCAGGCAGCGGCTGTCCCAAGCAGAGGGTGGGATGGACCAGCGTGTCGGGCGGGGGCCGAGGGCCTACGGTGCGCTGGCATTGGGCGGGGCCCCGGGACACTGCAGAGGCCAGGACGAGCGTGAGTTCAGCTCCCCGACACTCAGGCTGGCGGGGGGCAAACCAGCGGCACACAAGTTCGGAACGTGTCCTCCGGTGACGATGACTACGAGGACACCAAAGCCAGGCGAGAACAGTGGCTCCTGGCTGAAGACCTGCATGCGATTTCTCAGGCCCGCCCCCAGGCGGCTACACAGGCAGCACCTTACAGGCCTCAGCGGGGACTGGGGGGCTCCCTCCCAGCGCCGGCCCCAGTGGAACCCGCTGTGGCCTCTGGGGGAGCCAGGGTCAAAGTCTCAGCCCCACCTGGCCTGGCGCCTTCCTCCTCCGCCTCTTTACCTGAGGCCAGGGGCCCCTCCCGGTGCCTCTGCCAAGGCCTCCCCCTGGGGACGAGGGGCCCTGAAGACACACACACCCCCTCATGCTTCCACCTACCCAGTTACGTTCCACTGAGCCCTCGCCCCAGCCCCGGGACCACGAGACTGCAGGAGCCTTCTGCTCCCTCCACAGGGGCCCCACATCGGAGCCCCGACAGGAGTCGGCTCTCCGGGGCAGGGGTCCTGCTCACACCCTGGCCGTGAGCCCGGCAGGCTCAACCCCGCACCTGTGGCTCGTGGCTTCAACCAGCTACTCACACACCTGGCCGCTCAGGGTACTCGCTCCCAGCCTGGCTGAGCTCACAACAGCAGGGGACATTGGGGGACAGCCACCGTGAGGAGCCCGGGCAGGTTTCCAGCAAAGCGGGTGCCGGATGTGGTGCCCTCGAGGGGCTCCGCCTAGCAGGACCAGGACCGGCGGTGCACGGCCCACGCGAGAGGGAGGCGGCCCGGCTGGGCTGGGGGCGGCGGGGGGCGCTCACCTCCACGCTGGTGATGAGCCAGTCGCTCACGGCCTTGCTCTGGACGCCGCTGGTGACCATCTGGAAGCCGTTGGCGGTGGCCGTGTGCAGCAGCACTGGGGGGGAGGGGGGGTCAGCCAAGCCGGCAGAGCCGGATCCCCGCCCCCAGCACCCAGGACGCCGGTCCGGGCAGGGCAAGCGATGCGTGCCAGAGACGCCGCTGCGAGTTCCCGCACGGGCCGCTCCTGACATTAACCACGCGCGCACCCCGAACGCTCCGCCATGATGCCGCTCCTTCTACTCTTGGGCACTAGATGGGAGCCCCCCTACTTTTCACGTCGGGCAGAGACCGCCCTGAAACGCCAGAGAGTCCAGCCCCGTTCAACCTGCACTTCTGTTCCTTCAGCATTTGAATGACACAGTCATCCGCTGTGGGGACAGGAGACGCTGTAGCTGGAGGAAGCCCATCCCCTGGGGACTCTCTCAATACGTGTTCTGTGGATCTTAATTTATTTCAAAACAAAAAAGCTATTTTTAAAAGGCAATCGTGGCCGGGCACGGTGGCTCGTGCCGATAATCCTAGCACTCTGCGAGGCCGAGGCAAGAGGATTGCTTGAGCTCAGGAGTTCGAGACCAGCCTGAGCAAGAGCAAGAGCAAGACCCCTGTCTCTACTAAAAATAGAAAGAAATTAGCCAGACAACTAAAGATAGAAAAAATTAGCCGGGCATGGTGGTGTGCCTGTAGTCCCAGCTACGGGAGGCTGAGGGAGGAGGATCGCTTGAGCCCAGGAGTTGGAGGTTGCTGTGAGCTAGGCTGACGCCATGGCACTCTAGCCGGGGCAACAGAGCGAGGCTCTGTCTCAAAAAAAAAAGTAATTCGTTATTGGTCACAATTGCCTTTTTTTTTTTTTTGAGACAGAGCCTTGCTCTGTTGCCCCGGCTAGAGTGCCATGGCGTCAGCCTAGCTCACAGCAACCTCCAACTCCTGGGCTCAAGCGATCCTCCTCCCTCAGCCTCCCGGGTAGCTGGGACTACAGGTGCACCACCATGCCCGGCTAATTTTTTTTTATATATGTCTTTTAGTTGGCCAATTAATTTCTTCCTATTTTTGGTAGAGACGGGGTCTTGCTCTTGCTCAGGCTGGTTTCGAACTCCTGACCTTGTGCGATCCTCCTGCCTCGGCCTCACAGAGTGCTGGGATTACAGGCGTGAGCCACCGCGCCCGGCCCCTACGTGTGACTTTACAGCTGGTTCTTTCCTCTAACTAATGTAAAAGGAGCACTGCCCCACACCACTGAACCCTCTCCCTCGACCACACTCCCACCGCCGCGTAAACTCCACCGCGTGCGAGATGCCTCCTTCCTGCTCCTCTAACTGGTATCTGGGTATTTCCAACATTTCACTCTTCTACTGCCATGTAAAATGCTACTGTCAAGACTGTGAGACCAGGGGCTGGCAGCTTTTTCTGGAAAGGGCTGGACAGTTAATACGTTCAGTTTTGCAGGACAGATGGTCTGTCACGGGCTCGGGGAATTAACTTTGCTACTGTGGCAGGAAAACCCCCACAGACCATGCACAAATGTATGGGCATGGCCTTGTACCAATAAAACTTTATTTATAAAAACGGGCAGACCCTGGGCCAAAGTTCCTGATCTAAAGAGTGCCAGTAATTTGGCTATGAAAAAGGAAGCCTTTCTTACAGCTCTGACGCATACTGCTAAACCGCTTCCCCGAGGAGCCGTGCGGGTCTATCTGTGGGACACACTCGCCTGCCCGGGCCCGTCCTCGCTGACCCTGGGTGTCCACTTCCCTCTCACATGTGCCGTCTCCGTGGTGGACACGGCCGTGGGCAGCCCCCCCCACCCCCCGCCTCCCCTCAACAGGTCACACTGCAGAGCTCCCCGCCACGTCCCCTGGTCACTGGGTGCAGAGAAACGTGTCTGTCCCTTTTCCCTGAGAACGCTGCTGGTCCAGCTGACGTTCTAACGCGAGGTGACACTGAGGATTTACTCGGTAGGCAGAGAACAAAACACCTGCCCTGTGTCCCCGAACCGTGAGCAGCTGGGGTGGGAAATGCCTCCCTCTCAGTGAGTGGTCCCAAACATTCGGGTGCACAGGAACCAGTTGTGGGGTTGGGGACAGAGGGCTGCAAAGTACGGGGTCCTTGGTGCCAGCCCCAGGTGGTGGCACAGCAACTACAGGCAATGGATGGCACATGCTGGCACTGAGTGGGGACACGGCACACACAGGGCGACCGCAGCCCTGGGACAGGGAAGCCCCCCACGCCCTCGGCCCCCTCCTGCAGCCCAGACTCACCCTCAGCGGCAGAGGCGGAGCCCTGGGAGGCAGAGGCGGCCTGGGTCTGCTCGTAGATGGAGAGTAGGGCCTCGTCTTCCACGGCAAAGTACACGGGGACGATGGTCTCCATCGCCAGCATCTCAGGCTCGATCTCCATGAATTGCTGGGGGGGAGACACAAGTTAGGGGGCTGGGGCCCAGGCGGGGAAGCAGATCGGCTTGGCCAGCGGCTGGCCCTGGAGGGGAGGCAGGCGGCTCAGTCGGTGGCGTGAGCTGCCCCCTCCCCAAGCCCCTCATCTACAAAAGCACCTCCACCCGGGGCCTCTCGCGGGGTCCGGCCAGATCCTGCTCCTGCGCGGCAGGGTCTCCCGGCACTGCAGGTGCTGAGCAGCGCCCCTGTCCCTGCCCACGCCCACCTGTGCCAGGAGCCCCCTCCTCAAATACCTCCGGATAGTGCCCGGTGTCCTGTGGACACGAAGCCGCCCCTCCAGGGAGGACCGCTGATGAAGGGGAACAACATCCCGCTTTCTAAAGGGCCCAGAGGTGAGGTGACCCGCCCAGGGTCACACAGCTGATTGCGAATCCAACCCTGAGCACGTGGGCAGGGAGGGCCGGGCGCTCACCCGGACGACGTCCTGGGGCACGGCTGCCACGGCCCGCGGCAGGATGATGACCACGGCGCCCGCCGACTGCCGCAGCGCCTTCTGGTACTGCTCGTAGGAGAAGTCCAGCAGCCGCATGAGGACGCAGCGGCGGCTCAGCACGTCCGCGTCCATCGTGCGCGCCTCCGTGTTGAGCACCGCGTTGCGCGTGCCTGTGGGAGGAGGGGGTTCGTCTCTCAGCGGGCGCCAGGCCAGGCCCTGCCCGGCCCCCTTCCGCGCCCGACCGTCTTAGAACCATGACTGTCACGTCAACTCGCCCAAATGTCAACAGCGAGCAATGGGTCTACAGCACAACCTGACGCGGTGAAAGCCGGCAACAAACCCTGGTGCGAGGCCCCTGGGCCTCGGTGTGAGCCCCACGCAGGAAGCACTCAAAAGTGACAATGCAGACACGGCCTTGGGTCCCCTGGGAGCCACCGCCCCGTCCCATAGGAGCCAGCAGGGCAGGTGACGCACGCGGGACGCGCCTGGGAAGGTGGCAGACAGGACGGGTGGCTCCACAGGACCACTGGATGTGCCGGAGTGGTGGGTCGGGAAAGGCACAGAGGACAGACAGAAGGACACCCGTCTCGGGTGGGGACGCGTGCCTGGGAAGGTGGCAGACAGGATGGGTGGCTCCACAGGACCACTGGATGTGCCGGAGTGGTGGGTCGGGAAGGGCACAGAGGACGGACAGAAGGACACCCGTCTCGGGTGGGGACGCGGGGTGGGGGTCTCCGGGCCTCTGCTCCCCTTCCCATCTGACCTCGCTCGCCCGCAGGGGCCCTGCCAGGGGGATGGCAGCAGAGACCTTGAGGAAGTCCTTGGGGCTCGGAATGCTGGCAACGCCCCTCCCCTGCGCCCCACCTGTCCCTTTGGCCTCCTGGGGCGGCTCAAATGTCACCTCTTCTGGGGGGAGTGCGGGCCCCCCACAGGCACCTACTGTGCGCTGGGCCAGAGGCTGGGTGTCCGCTCGCTGGAGTTCAGGACTTGCTCTCAGCGGGCAGCGGGTGAGGACACAGAGGGAAGCAGCACCTTACTTGGGTCCCCCAGGACACCCTCTAGGATGGAGCCGGCCCCATCCGAGCCCGTGTCACACCTGTCACGCCGTCCCCATGGCCTGGCTCACTCTCGAGGGGCTAAGGCGCAGGGGCTTTTGGTGGCACGACCACACCTGGGCGGGCGTGCGCAAGACAGTGAGAACACAGCCCGAGCCCTGCGTCTGGAAGGCCTTGCGCGGCCGGCCCCCCAGAGGCGGGTGCTGGGCACCTAGACAGGAGGCGCCAGCCCGTCGCAGGATCAGGCCCGAACAGAGGTCGGCAAACTTTTCTGCCACCTTGCCAGCCGCATGGGCTCGGTTGCCATCACTCAGCTCTGCTGTCTCAGCGCGAGAGCAGCCAGAGATAGACAGCGACACAGTGTGACCGTGTGCCGATAAAACTTTATTTACAACAGGCAGACGACTGTTAGATTAAGAGCTCTCCAGAGCCTTCCTGGCTTTCGTCCTGGGAGCCCGGCCCCTGGGGGTGCTACCGTCCCCACCCATGGGGTCCCGGGCAGGAAAAGCAGGGAGTGTGACAAGCTCCACCTGACACTGGCAATGCCCTAGAACGCACTTCCCCGAGAAGGGCCAGAGTCCACCTGCTGGGCGGGGCGGGCTCCCCAGGCCCCACACCCGCCGAGCACAGAGCGCCTCCCAGGCCCCGTTTCTCAACAGGAACAAAGGGGAAGTTGGGAAAGGTGTCCCCAGCGAGAACGGTTGCGAAGCCCTGGGGAGAGGGTGCTGAAGACAGTGGGAGATTGTGGGAGAGTGACAAGAGTGACTTAGCAGGCTGGCCCTCAGAGGCAGCATGCCCGGGCTTTCCCAAGGACCCATCCTCTGCGAGCTGGACCTCTGCCTGGCAGCTGCGGAGGAAAAGAACCTTGAGGGCCCCTCTGCTCACTCTGGAGCCCACGGTCCTCCCAGACCACCGGGCGAAGGCCAGACACAGGGACATGCCCCTCCCAGTGCAGGACAGGTGGCTCTGGGTTTCTCAGTGGGAGTGATGCAGGCTGAGGACCAGGGAGGAGGGCGGAAGGGACCCCAGGATCAGGGCAAAGGACTCAGAAGGGAGGGAAAGACAAAAGGGCCAAAGTAATGGGGTTGAACGCACAGAGGCTGGGAGAGAAGAAACAAGTCCCACGAGGAAACCGAGGCAGCTCTGAAAATCAGCAAGGCTGTTTGCTCAACACGGTCGCCTGCATTTCCGGGGGGCGGGGGGGAGGGGCTTGTCGGGGAGAGAAGGGACCCGTCCCAGCTGCCAACAGGACTCAGATGGATCTGGGGAAACGGGTTATTTCAAATCCCAGGACCTGAGCTTTCTAGGCTACAGGCTCGTCTGGAAAACCCAGGAAAGCCAGAGAATTGAGCTGCCCGCTACGTGGCTGTCTGGGGTCATCACTTCTAAACGGCACCAGGAATTATGTTCCTCGGTGGCACAGCCTCGTCCCACGGGCTCAGCAGCCCCCTGTGGCTGGCGGCCCTCGGGCGAAGATAGAAAACACATCTGCGTGGCAAAGAGAGCACAGGCCCCTGAAGACCGAGACTCTTCCCCCAGGGAAAACACCAAAGGGCATTAGGGGCTCCTGGTCCCCCACTCCTGCCCTCCAGAGCTGGGGTCATGGGGTCAAACCATTACTCTGACCCAGGGGCTCTACCCTCCACCCCCAGCACTGTGGACACTGGGGCCGGACTGTTCTCTGGGGAGCAGCGTCCCTGCCCCACCTCCCCCTGCCAGGGGCTCCCCCCAGTCAAGACAACCACAAACATCCCCAGACATGACCCCATGTCCCCTGGGGCAACCACCTCCACTTTAAAATGAAAACAACGTACTTCGGGGTGAAATGGGATCTGAGGGGAAGCCTGGGTACGTCTCCAGAGACGGGCTCCCAGGGGCCTGGCAGAGGCTGGGGGTCCCAGGGACTCGGGCTGAGCCTGAGCTGTTTCAAGAGGGAGCTGTCCGAGGGAACTGGGGCTCAGAACTGAGGGGATCCAGGGGACGTGCGGAAAGGGGCTCCTTCATGGGGAGGTCAGGCTTGACCTTCAGGGACCTGAGAGGCGAAGGCTGGAAGAAAGAAAGACTCAGGACCAGAAGGTTCTGGAACAGCAGGTGCAGCTATAGTCAGGAGACAAGGGCATCTACTATAGAATGATAAATGCTTGGGGCTGCTGAATTGGACGGGGTAGGGACGCATCCATAGAGGGGCCCCCCAAAAGTCCCAAGGCCAGGGATGGAACTGGGGAGGTGGGAGCTACAGGACTCTGAAAAAGTGGCTCACACGCTGGGACCAGGGAGAGCCCAGAGCCTGGGAAGAGATGGAGCATTGACTGGGGGACAGTGGTCAGTGAGAGCGAGCTTGGAGGACGGCTGGGTGTGGACACCGGACTCAGAGCGCAGGATACCCGGGGTCCGCGGGAGGGGATGGGGCTGGCTGGACCCCTGCGTCGGTGGCTCGGCCCGGCAGACACCAGCGCAGGGACGTTTAACTCCAAACGCGGTTAAGCCAAAGGCTGAAGCTCTGGGCACTAGGCGGGGTCCTGGGCCTGGAGGTCGGGGGGGGCAGTCGGGGCAAGTGGGCACCGGCCGGGGCGGACGCAAGTGCCCAGGGGGCCCAGGAAGGAGATACGAGGCGAGGCGAGGCGGCGCGGCTTTAGCCCAGCTGGGAATAGCAGAGCGGGGGCCTGTGGGTCCCCGACCAGGGGGCGCTTGGATTCCGGGGCAGGGGCTGCGGAGGCGAGCGCGGGGGACCCGTCGGGCCCCGAGCATAGAGAGCCGGGGTGCAGGACACCCGAGAGAGGGCCAGGCGGGGAGCCCGGGGCCGGGGAGGGTCGGGGGCCAGGGGGATCGGGGCCCGGGCCGCGGCGGCGCACGCACCGTAGGGCTGGCCCTGCAGGTCGTACTGCTGCATGCGGTACACCGTGAACTCGTGCGCCGCGTCGGCCGCGGGCAGCGGCGGCGCCACCAGCAGCAGCACGGCGGGCAGGAAGACGATGAAGCCCAGCGGCAGGCACGACGCCTTCAGCATGTTCTCCAGCACCTCGCCTGCTTCCTCCAGCATCCTGGCCGGCGGCGGGGCCGCGCGGGGCGGCGGCGGGGACGGGACAGCGGCGGCTGCGGCGGCGGCGGCTCCCGCGGACTCACCTCGGCATGGGTAGCCGCCGGGGTCCTTCAGGCGCCGCGCTGGGCAGCCCGCGCCTGCCCCGGGGTCCTACGGGCACCACCGCGGACAGTTCCCTCTGGCCGCGCTGCCTCATGGGACTTGCAGTCCGCTTGGCGCGCGGAGCTGCCTGGGAGTTGTAGGCCCACTCTAGGCTCGCTGGCGAAAGGCTGTCTAGCAAACACTGCGGAAGTTTCACATAAACTCCAAGCCACAAAACACAGAGACTTTAAAAAACTATTTTGCGGTAGAATTTTCTCAAATTGCGTCTTTGGTGTGTGTTGCGTGGGGAGAAGGGAACGAAAGGCCGGGGGGGGGGGGGCAGGACGTGACCTTGCGACCTGGAAGGAAGTTGGAGCTGAAGGAAAGAGGAAGTGGCCTCTGGCGCGCTGGGTCTCCTGGGAATTGTAGTCTCCTAGAACAGACACAAAGGATCATGGGAGCTGTAGTCTTCCTCACAGAAGTTTCGGGGGGGAAAAGACTAAAAAATCACTTAAAACTCTCAAGGATGCAGATGTTAAGCAACACGAGGGCGAAGACTTCTGTCTGCTGTGTGCATCGATGTATCCCCGACACTAAGCAGGAGCCCTGGCACACTGTGGGTGGTCTATACAATTTTGGGAGGAATGAATGAAAAATGAATAAAAAGTCGTGCTAGGCTGTGACACGGTGCGTTATGGGACTTGTAGTCGCAGCCTGGGCTGCACGTAGGGTGGGTGGCATCTTTGGTTATATTTATCCTTGTTCACATTTGGGGCATACATATGCTAAAAAAAAGTATTTGATGTTCCTCAGAAATTGGAATTTATTTTCTGGGTGTTCCATATTGGTATTTCCCCTCGTGGCAACCCTCAGGGCCCAGGTGTCAGGGACCAGGTACAGGAGCATCAGCAACTCACAGCCCCTCCCACAGATGGGAAAACAACGGCCCAGGCCCCGGCGGAATGAACAGTTGTCTAAGGACTCAGGGCCTCCCTTCTGTCCCGGGTGAGCCCTGGCATTTGTGCCGATTAAGAGAATGAGCTCGAGTCCTCCACTTCCCAGCTGTGTGACTTAGGGAAAGTCACTTCACCTCTCTGGGCCTCTGTTTCCTCAGCTGTCAACTGTGAAGATACATAATGAAACACTCTGCCCCACCAGTGGTGTGTAAGGATTCATTACGTCAATCCACAGGAACGGATTCAGAGCTAGGCACACAGTAAGTGCTCAATAAGTGTTGGCAGTATGAGGCTGCACCAAGCACACGCAGCTGCAGGGCCTTTGCATTTGCCATTCCTGCTGGAACACGCTTCCAGCACCTCTCTGCATGGCTGAGTATTCCAAGGAGGGAAGGAACTGACAGTTATTCATTTGTTCATTCATTCATTCATCAAAAACGAAGTATCAGGGAACAAAAAGCTACGGGTACGTGTCTAAGCCAGGTGCAGTGGTGCACTCCTGAACTCAGGAGGCTGAGGACGGAGGGTCGCTAGAGCCCAGGGGTTTGAGACCAGCTTGGGGTACACAGGGAAACCCCAACTCAAAAAAAAAAAAAAGGAAAAGAAAAGCAAAGCTACCTGCGTGAGTTTGAATTCCAGCTCTGCCACTTCCCAGCTGTGTGACCTTGGGTAAGTTACCTAACCCCTCTGGGTCTCAGTGTTCCCATCTGTGAAACGGAATTACTGAGTGAGATGTAAGGCTTCGCAGTTATTGCTCATTTAAAAACACACGCATGATAGTTCAGGGTGTCTGCATTCCTCACCTTATCGAGTCCTCATTGAATCCAGGAGAACAGGAGCTGGCCATGTCCTCATTCTGCAGACGAGAGAGCTGAGGCACAGGGGACCTGGGGAGCTCCAGTGGGCTACAGTCACCAGTGAAGGTGTCGCCATTAACCCCTGGGCTGTCCGGTAAGTAGCAGTCAGGATTCCTGGAGGCCGTTTCGCCACTGCCATGGAGGAGAGCTGGGGTGCAGAAGGAGGAGTGGAAAGAGGTTTCTGAAGCCTCAAATGCTGCTGTGTCCAGTTCTCCCAGAGCTCTGTGTCACCGTGCTGGGCCCTGTGCTAGGGACACAGCCACGGCCCAGACAAGCCACGATACCCACTATCGCAGAGCCCCAAGTCCAGAGGAGATGGATGCGTGACCAGGTGCGACTGCAGCTGGGATGCAGGAGGCACAGGCAACTGCGGGAGCCCAGAGGCGGCCTTGGGAGAAGAGGTAATCAGGAGAGACTTCCTGGAGAAGGTGGCACCCTCGCTGAGACCCGAAGGATGGGCAGGCCGAAGTCGAGTGAAGAATGAGGGAAAGCCACACCCAGCAGAGGCAGAACTGTAAGAGGGGGACACAAAGGCAGCTGTGGGACCCTAGGGAAGAGAAGAAATCAGAGATGACTTCCTGGAAGAGGCGACACCAAAGCTAAAGCACACAGAATGAGCAGGCAGCCGTCAAGTGGAGAACGAGGGGAGGCACGTGCCAACCAGGCCACCCTGGTGGGGGCAACAAAGGCAAGTGGGAAGACCCCCGGGAGGGAGGGAGTTGTAAGTAGTTCAGCTCAAAGCAAACCACATGAGGACGCCCCGCAGGGCAGAGGGAGCCAGGGGGCAGCTCATAGTGGCCCAGAAGGGGTGCGGAGAGCTTTGGGCTGGCACAGCCTCCACTCACCCAAAATGCCACGGAGACCCCCCCGCCAGCCGCCGGCGCAGATGCACACACGGAGCAGGCGTCGGGAGGACACAACAACCGTCCGGCTCTTGCGCACACGGACACGCGCTGGGGACTTGAGCCAACCCCAGCCAAGAGAACCGCCTGCGATGACGGAAACGGTGGCACCTCTGTCGTGTCCAAAGCAGGAGTGGGAGCCGCTGCCGACTCCGTGGACTGTGGCTCTTGTGGCCGAGTGTTAGGGGGTGACCCGTGTCCCCCCGCAAACCCATATATTCCCGCCCTCGGCCCCGAGACCTCGGATTGGGACGCTTATTTGGCAATAGGGTCATTGCAGATGGAAACAGATGACACCCTTGTACTGGACTAGGGGGGCCTGATCCCACCACTGGGGATTCTACAAAAGTGGGGGGATGTGGACACAGACACACAGGGAGAACGCCACCGGAGACAGGGGCAGAGATCGGGGGACGCTTCCACGCGCCAAGGAACGCCAAGGATGAATAAAGCCCGTGTGCAAGGCACAAGCCCCTGGGGCTTTGTCCTGGCCCTCTAGCAAACCACAATGCGGACAAACTGAATTTAAAACTTTCATTTAATGTTCATGAATTGTAAACAGCCACACAGGGCCAGTGGCTGAGATACCGGACAGTTCGATAAAATAGTCGCCACTCCCTGCACCCCCGCCCATCGTGCGGCAGAGAAATAGTGGCTTCGAGCAGAGATGTCCCGTGCCCAGGTGGCAGGCGGGGTAGCCCCCAGGCCGCTGTGCCGCAGGCACGTGGTGGGACAGAGGCAGGGGATGGGGGGGCTGGCATAGGCCCCAGAGGAGGGGCAGGGCTTCGTACCGGCACCAGCACCGACGCTCAGCCGTGGGCTGTTTAAATGTAAACAAATTCACAGTAAATAGAACCTACAATTAGAAGTTCAGTTCTCGGTCGCTCCGTACCCTGCAGGGCTGGCATCTCCCGTGCTGCGTGGTGCAGCCGTAGAACGTTGCCACCATCGCGAGACGTTCTGTCGGACACCCTGGGCTTCAGGTGTGGTGGCTGGTGCCGAGCATGTCAGGACAACCTTGTGCGTAGGGGCTGGATTAGCCCATTTCACAGATGCGGAAGGGCGAGGCCGCGAGTGCTGTGGGGAAGCTGCGAGACACTCCCCTAGGCCAGGAGGGCGAGGTCACCGCACCTATGCGGGTGCCCAGACTGTGTCCAACAGATGCAGAGGTCAGAGCCGGGGCAGGGGCCCTGCCTTCCCAAAGGGGAAGTGAGCGAGAAGAGGCTGGTGACAACTGTCATCGGCTGCCCCACCCCCTTCCTGCAATGCCGGGACACGCTCGCTCGCCGTCCACACCCACACTCCACGCTCACAGCCACGGCCGGGCTCACAGACACACCCGCGCCCCCACGCTGCCAGCCGCGCCCCCGAGCCCGGCCGCGCACTCGGGGACAAGAGAGAGGCTGCCACTCCTCGTCCGGCCACTCGACCTGCAGTGTTGCGGGGGCAACCACCCCGCTGCGCGCCCCACCGAGGCCCAGAGACGGCCTGGGCCTGCTCCGAAATCACACAGGAGCCCGGGCGGAGTGGCCCCACCGGGTGGCCTCCTCGTCCGAGGTCCCCGCGGGAAACCGCCCTGGCGTCCCCCGCCGCGTGCAGCCCCGGCGTCCTCAGAGGCTCCGCACGCTGGAGACGCTGGACAGGGGCTCCCGCAGCCGGAAGCTGAGCGACCGCGAGCCCCGCAGGCTGTCCCGCGGCCGCAGCGCGCTGTCGGTGCTGGAGCCGGCGGCGCGCGCCTCGGCGGCCCTGGCCAGGCAGTCCCCGGGGCCGCGCAGGCCCAGGCGCAGACACGCGCAGCACAGGAAGCCGAGCACGGCGCGGCACACCTCGCGGCTGCGGAAGGAGTAGATGAGGGGGTTGACGGCCGAGTTGAGCACGGCCAGCGCCAGGATCCAGTCCATGCCGCGCAGGTACTCCTGCGCCCACGCGGTGGAGCCGAACACGTCGGCCAGCAGCAGGCCGAAGAGCGGCCCCCAGCACAGCAGGAAGGCGGCCAGGATGAGCAGCACCGTCTGCAGCAGCCGGCGGGCCTTGCGGCGGGCGGCGGGGCGCGGGGCGGCGCGCCCGTTGGCCCGCACCACGCGGAAGATGGCCCCGTACAGGCCGGTGATGGCGGCCAGCACGGCCGCGAACACCAGCAGGCAGAAGAGGATGTAGCGCTTGGAGTAGAGCGGCAGCAGGCTGGAGCAGCGCTCGAAGGCGCACACGCAGTTCCAGCCGAGCAGCGGCAGCAGCCCCAGCAGCGCGGCCAGCAGCCAGCACAGCGCGATGAAGCCGTGCACGCGGCCCGTCTTGCGGGCGCGGCTCTCGGCCACCGGGCGCACCATGGTGGCGAAGCGCTCGCCGGCCGTGAAGAGCAGGCTGAAGGTGGAGGCGGCCAGCGCCGTGAAGAGCAGGCCCTCGCGCAGGAACCACTGCGCCGGCGCCAGGCGGAAGGTGCGCGCGCCCGACAGCAGCACGTTGGCCAGGTAGGCCGCGCCCGTGAGCAGGTCGCTGAGCGTGATGTTCACCAGGCAGTAGTAGACCCAGCGGCGCGACCGCATGCGCGCCAGGATGGCCGCCAGCACCAGCAGGTTCTCCAGCACCACCAGGCAGCCGGCGGCCACCGACAGCGCGCGCAGGGCCCCCAGGCCGCCGTCCTCCGCGCCGCCGCGGCCCGCCAGCCGGCCCGAGTGGTTGTAGTGCAGCACCAGGAGCCGGCTGTGGCCGCCGGCCGCCAGCTGCTGGCAGGACTCGGGCGCCCCCGGGGCCCCGGTGGCGTTCATGGCCTCCCCGAGGGGCAGACTGAGGCCCGGCAAGGCGGAGCCGCCTGCCTCCCCGGCCTCGGTTTCCTGTTATTTGAAATTTCCTGTTATGCTCAAGGTACCCCCGGGGTGGGGGCCAGGCCCAGGGCGGGGAGGGCGGCCCAACCGCCGCCTGCCGCCGCCACCAGCCCAGCCGCAAGGCCCCCACCCGCCCCGCCCTGCTGCCCCTTCTGGGTCCTTGAGCCTCAAAAGCCAGAGGCGGGAGGGAACCCCAGAGCTGTAAGTCCCCGAGGGGAAACGGCCACCCCGTCGCCCCTGCCCCCCGCCCCTGCCCCCTCCAGGACAGGCCTGTTCCACGGCTCCGTCCCCAACTGCGCCAAGCTGCCTGGCACACAGTAGGTGCTCCATAAATGTTTCTCAAGTGCTCACGCACCCTCGACAGGGCCGGGCCTGACTTGCAAGGTGCTCCTCTATAGAAGGGGAAACTGAGGCCTGGATAGGCGGCCACGCCGCACTTGGAGGGTGTTAAGGCAGAGCCCTGTGCACGGGAGGACACCCAGATCAGGCTCCTGGGGTCTCGGGCCAGGACCCCCTTCCTGGGCTCTGCCGTTGCCCCTCGCTCTCGAGGGAGAGATGGGGGCTCGCCCCACCCCCACCACCCTGGGGACGCTGGCGTAGGGTGACTCAACCTGAGATGGTTGTGGTCTGACAAGGGGAGACACACCCTGTCCTGGTGTCTGGCGGAGGGGGGGTGGGGTGTGGTGGCCCTGAGCATCACCCGTAGGTGACAGGACTGCATCCCTGCCCCCCACTCCCCAGAGCCCGGGACCCTCACCCTTCCCTAGCACAAGGCTCTGGGGTGTGAGGTGGTTTGGAAAATATTTCAGGGCCCAGAGCTGTGAGTGTGGCCCGGGAGTGTGTCTCTGATGGCCCCTCCCCCACCGCAGCCACCCCGGACCCACCTGCCTTGCCCCTCCCCCGCCCCGGGCCCACGTGGTCATCAGCCTTCCCGGTGGTCTTGGGGAAGGAGTGACCATCGCAGTTCAGCCAGCCAGGTGTGCTGGAAGGGGCACAGGTGTGCTATGAGGGTGCAGGTATCCATCCCAGAGGGACACAGGTATTCCATAGGGACAGAGGTATCCCCTAAGGACACCCCATGAGGACACAGGTGTCCCACATGGCTACAGTATCCCCCCCAGGCTGGGAACTCCACCCAGGGCAGGGTGGGAGGGGCCTGGGGTGGAGGGCAGCTGGGCCCTGTCACCCCCCCACACGCCACACACAGACACACACACACACACACACACACACACACACACAACCCGTTTCCTGCTCGGCTCTGGGGCCGCAGGGCAGCTGCAGGGAAGCTGGGCACAGGCACTGGCTGGGGAGGCAGCTGGTCTTGTCACAGGAGGTGACCAAGCAAAAGGGCTCTGAAGAGGGGTGTGCGGTGGGCAGGTCATGGGGAGCAGGGCTGGCAGCTGGGGTGTGGGACCAGGCGGGGACGAGCAGACAGGCCCTGCCGAGCAGACGCGGCCACCTGGCTCAGGCACCTACGTGGAGACACGCTGCAACCCTGGCCCACCTTTCACCCCAAACTATGCCCTGACCCTGGCTGAACCCCAATCCTGAGTTTAGCCTAACTTGAGGCCGAGCTGTCCAACAACGACCCTCCACCGTGAATTGGTCTCCTTGACCAATGAATTGGGGGAAAGCCCGTGTGTGCGTCCTACCTTAGTTAATCTCACAATTATGCCCACACTGCAGAAGAACAATCCCCCTTCTAGAAATCCGCCCTGAACACGGGGCTCTAAAAATACCAAGGCCATTCCGGTGACTTTCCAGCTTAAAATTTGGAAGAAGAAAAAAAAAAAGAAAATAAGTATAATTTTTAAAATCAAAAGATATAAAATATTTTAAAAATTAATAATAATAAATAAATAAATAAAAATACCAAGGCCACGCGCACAAGATTATTCCTTGAAGTGCCGTTTGGACATGCAAAACATTAGAAGCCACCCGAATGTCTTCACACTCTGCTACAGCCCGAAGAGGAATACTACGCAGCCGTGTAAAAGAACAGCAAGGTGCTCCGTGAATGGCACGGAGTGGCTTCCAGGACATGTTGTCACATGGGACTATAAACCAGCAGAGTACACAAGAGTACGCGTAGTACACGTACTTTTTGGAAATAAAGAATGCTTGCTTTTGCAAAGAAACACAGGAAAGCTAAGCCAGGAACTAGCGAAATTTATTCCCTCGAGGGGATGGAAACAGGGAGGGAATGACACCATCCGAACTTTCCTCTTTGTGTAGGTTTTAAGCCGCGTTCATGCTTTCTATGTTCAAAAATGAAATGGAACCACCAAGGACGGAGAAAAAAGCTTTCAGATGGAACATCGGTAGAAACAAATGCAACTGTATTTCAAATGAAAAATGTGACCACACAGATAGAAAAGAACCAGCCCGTGGAACTTTCGAACACAGGACTCACTCTGAAGACAAAATGAACTGCAAAGAAATGTTGGGCTTTGTGCAGCAGATTTGTCCTTGGGAGTGGTACTAACGTAGCAATTTTGAAACTGTTGTTTGTGCAACAGGATTCCTGGAAGTGGCGAATACAGAGATATGAGTAGGAAATAGGGTCTTCCCTGGGGGAGAGAAAAGGTCAACTATGAGCTGGGACAGTGCAGGAAAGAGCCCTGCAGGGGTGGGAGAAGATTTCAAGTAGCAGCGGGAATTCACAGTTTAAACAAAAATCTAAGGCCAGGTGCGGTGGCTCACGCCTGTAATCCTAGCACTCTGGGAGGCCGAGGTGGGAGGATCGCTCAAGGTCAGGAGTTCGAAACCAGCAAGAGCAAGACCCTGTCTCTACTAAATATGGAAAGAAATCAATTGGCCAACTACAAATATATAGAAAAAAATTAGCCGGGCACTGTAGTCCCAGCTACCTGGGAGGCTGAGGCAGGAGGATCGCTTGAGCCCAGGAGTTTGAGGTTGCTGTGAGCTAGGCTGACGCCACAGCACTCACTTCTAGCCTGGGCAACAGAGTGAGACTCTGTCTCAAAAAAAAAAAAAACAAAAACAAAAATCTACATCCTCATTCAATCCACCGAGACAAGCCGGTGACATTGAGCACCCAGCACCCAGATCTTGGCTTCTAAATATCACCAGGGCTCCCAGAAGAAATGGTGATCCCAGCAGTGGAGCAGGAAGAACATAAGATGAGCCCAGAACATCTCTCCGGAGAGCCGAGTAGTGCTCGCAGGATGGGGACCTGTCAAAGGACACAAGTGCCAGCTTGAAGAAGCTGCTGCTGGCCACGCCCGGTCACAGTGGATGATCTTACCACGTGACCCAGCAACTCCACTCCTGGGTGCACAGTTAGGGATGAACACAAGTCCACGCAGAAACTTACACACCCACGTTCACGGCGGCACCGTTCACAACAGCCCAACGGTGGCCACACCCCACGTGTCCCCTGACAGAAGAATGGACACACAGCGTGGCCCATCCACACGCTGGAGTATCACTCAGTCATGACAAGACACGAGGCTGTGACACAGGCCACAGCGTGGAGGGACCTTGAGGACGTCGTGCTCAGCGAGAGACGCCAGACACAGAAGGACACACAGTGTGAGACTCCGTTTACATGAAAAGTCCAGAACAGGCAGAGACGGACGTGGATTCGTGGGTGTCAGGGGCTGGGGAGGGGTGGGGGCGTGACTGCTGCTGGGGATGTGGTTTCTTTTAGGAGTGATAAAAATGTTCTAAAATTGACCGTAGTGACAGTTGCACAATTCTTGGAATACACTAAAAGCCACTGAATTGTATATTTTGTTGGGGTCTTGCTATGTTGCTCAGGCTGGTCTCGAACACCTGGGCTCAAGCCATCCTCCTGCCCGGGCCTCCCAAAGTGCTGGGACTACAGGCATGAGCCACCACATCCTGCTGAGTATGGATTTCATTCATAAAATCCAGTCGTAAAAACTAATTTTTAATTTTCTTTTATGGAAGAGGAAGCCCATGAAAGTCTTAATGCAGGTCTGACTGGTCTTCCAACTTTCTTAGGTTTGAAACTTTCCATGATAAAAAGGTTTTAAGAGATGTTGGATGGGCCGGGCGTGGTGGCTCACACCTGTAATCCTAGGACTCTAGGAGGCCGAGGCTGGCGGATGGCTCAAGGTCAGGAGTTCAAGACTAGCCTGAGCAAGAGCAAGGTCCCATCTCTACTAAAAATACAAAGAAATTAATTGGTCAACTATATATATAAATATATATAGAAACTATATATTTCTATATATATTTTCAAATATATAGAAAAGATTAGCCGGGCATGGTGGTGCATGCCTGTAGTCCCAGCTACCCCGGAGGCTGAGGCAGGAGGATTGCTTGAGCCCAGGGGTTTGAGGTTGCTGTGAGCTAGGCTGATGCTACGGCACTCTAGCCCGGGCAACAGAGTAAGACTCTGTTTCTCAAAAAAAAAAAAAAAAAAAAAAAGAAGTGTTGAATGACTACCTGTGTTCACCAGGTGATCAAGGTTCACACCAGCAGTGACAGGTCACGTTGCCAGCACTAACCCTAGATAGGATGTGATGAGAAGGGCCCTCACCTCTGACCTCTCCTCTAACCTCTTCCTCTCCCAGACCTGTCCCCCGGGTCTAATCGGACCAAACCCAATCGAGGGGCTTTCTACAAAATTACCTGTTACGGGTTGAAATGTGTCCCCCATCCCACAAAAGATACATTCAAGTTAAAAGCCAGGTACCTGTGAATAAGGCCTCATCTGGGAATAGTCTTTGCAGTTGTGATCAAGTTTGGATGAGGCCATTAGGGTGGACCCTAATCCAGTAGGACTAGGGCACCAGGGTAGAGTCCTGGGCAGAAAAAGAGCATTAGGGAAAACCTAAGGAAACTTGAATGAAGAATAGTTAACAATAATTTGCAATATTGGCTCATTAATTGTCAACAGACGTGCCACACTAAGATGTTACTCATGGGGGAAACTGGGTGTGGAGTATATGGGAACTCTGTGGAATATTTTCACAATTTTTCTGTAAACCTAAAGCTGCTCTAAGAAACATAAAAGTTCTTACAGGGTCTTGCTATG